GGCCTCATTGATAAATTATGTAACAGCTTATTTTCTCTAGCCCAAATCTCTCTTTGCATGGTGTTGCAACACTGAGCCACTCCTCCGCGTCTTTTTGCGACTCCCTTTCAGAGCTAAGATCTTGTAAAAATCCAGCTGTGAAGACAAATTCCAGAGGTTCCAGGAAATATACTATTGGAGTGCATTAGCCCAAATAATTGGGCTAAGTGTTGATTAATCATTCACTAACAGGCTCTGACGTTGCTCCATGTGAGAGACATCCAAAGGCTAAACATTACTCACAGCGACTCATGGTGCTGGTCACTCACTGATATCTGAGAGCACACTAAAACTGATAATATACAGGCAAGAAAAATACCCCAAAAGGGCCTAGAGCAGCTCAGCTCTGGCTGTTCCCTACATAAATAAAGCTGTGACTAGATCAACATTTTATGTAAAATACAAATCATACTGACAAACTGTGAAACCATCTATGTGAAGATGAGCATTTACTGTTAACAGTAGTTGTTTATTGTTTGCACCTTCTCTTGAACCTTATCATATTAGCATGGCTCATTCAATCTGAAAGATCAGATGAAGGAGCCCAGACTAGTGTTGGTAGTTTGACTTGGTCCAGAGAAATGATCATTTATCAGAAACACATGCACTTGATGAGAATTCCCTCTCAGGGCCAGACAGGCTAACTCCATAGTCTACATAATGGATCAAAGTAATATGCTGTAGGTAGATTAGATTACTGAACCCCTCTAATGATGATTGCTTTATAGTGGATAAGAGAAAGAGAGATGATAAATCTGATATCTCTTGTAATATGTTGTTTTCATGTTGGTGATTCCCTCATTACTGTAAACCACAACATATGTACACGGTGTGTTTTGTTTGTGCTGGTAATTACAGAGCCGTCACTTACACATGCTCAGGTCCCCCAAGGCAAAGACACACACACACAGCCATGTCTGTAGCACAATAAAACCAAATGAATCATTGTAATTACTGTCAGACGAGCACCTCGGCGGCTAACATCACATGCCAGTACTTTTAATCCTGTCCCAAGTGCGTTAGTTAGCTTTGTTTGCCCATCACTCACTCCATGGATCTAGTACAATCAATGTTTTCAGCCAAAAAACGCTTACTTAACACATGGTTATCTAAAACATATTGTCTGGGAGAATTTACAGTAGGGTTTGTGGCCAGTTCTTTCTTTTTGTATCATAATTTTTTTTTTTTTTTTTATAAAAAATGCTGTCCAAGTAAAACCATAGTGAATTACAAAGTGTTTTGAGACTTGCAAACAAACATGTATTTTATTTTTGGATTGAATTATTCAAGTGACAAGAAGGTGTTGTAATTGCCACATCCAGAATAATATCTCTTTATTCAGACGGATAACAGTCTAGTCCCCATGCCACTGCATCTCAAGCCAGATCAGATTGTTGTTTTGTTTTGTTTTTTCTGGTGAAGCAGGTGAAACAAAGGAGCTCATTGGTTATCTATCATTTACAAACAAAATTACAATTCTCTCACCAGATTAACCAGGAACCAGAGGTTAGTGCTTCACTCATTGATTCTGCTGCAATGTTTTTCAGTCCCTTGCGGCAGTTTTTTTCCCCCTGCTTTTCTCCTCATAAACAGCCATATTTATTTTGATACGAACAGATCATGTATGTCCCTGATTGGCAATCACACCCATCTGAAAAGTGGGGATTCAGAGGAGACTACACTCTTTGTAAAGTATCGAGGAAGTATGTATTAAGGGTGTTATTTATTGATTGATTTATTTACTTCGCAATAAAACACCTGTAATTGATGAAATTAATTCTATACTAACCACATTCTAGGCTGAGCAATAACATCTCTATAGAGACTGACTTACCCTTCACTAGAAAAGTTACAAAGTGCACCATTAAATTACTCAAATGTTAACGCCAATACCAACTTAGCTAGCAAGTTTCTATGCTGTATTTCTCAGGAAATAAATGAGAGATGTAAACAGACATTGAACATGTGGAACCCACTCGAAGTTTGGGTAATTTCTTCGCCAGACGTTATGCCATACCTGCTAATATCACAGCAAAACCAAAGTGCAGCAGCAGCGGTGAACTACTTACTCTGGAACGGAAAAGACACTTACAGGCCAAAGTGATCCCGCTACAAATCATATTTTCATTTTTTTCCCCCTTGTGGTTAAATAACTTCGATCGACTGTAAAACCATCTGTCATAAAGGAAAGTAATCAGTGTCAGGTGAAATAACACGGGCCAATCATGAATCACAGACGTTGGGTATGGAAGTCTTTAGCCCTGATTTGGACTCTAATGGAGGTGTAATTGAAGCGTCTTCGTAAGAGCTTTTTACATCACATATCAGATTCACTTGGAGGGTTTCAGCCGTCACAGTATTCTCGTGGAGTTTGACAGTTTGAGGCCTATACGCACATGGGGTTTTTGTAGCCCCCGTCTCCAAGGGTTCACAGTTTAGACAAGAGACGAGGTGGTTGTGTAAACACTTTTATGCACTTTTCAGGCTTATTCGGATAATCCTCTCCAGATATTAGTCTGTGTACAATGGACAGTCAGTGGTATTGTACTGTTGTTTTTTTGTTGTTTTTTTCAAATTTTAGTATGGTTGAAATTTGCTTAATGTCACTTTTCACATTATTCAACCTCTTCACACCTAACAATCACAATCAGTCAATCTTTAAGGTCCTGTACTACGCAATATTGACTTTTGTGAACTTTGAGCCATGTTATAATGCCTTGTTATATTATAATGCAAAATGAAAAACATAACTTGAGTAACCCTTTATTATTAGTCTGTCTACATCTCCAATGCTCAAAATGCTCTGTTCCACCTTGTATCACAAAGTGGTAGTTTTCAAGTTAACAGTTAACTTTTACCTTTTGTTTAGTGGAGATTGGCAATTCTGGGGTTGAAATTATCCAAATGATTCTACTGAAGATGTATGGAGTTTAAAAACACAGTGGAGCACTTCCTGTATTACTGCATGACATCACAACAGAGTGTTTTCCGTTTGAGAGAAGAACACAGCCTAAATTTGTCTGGTTTGTGTGTTAAACATGTCTGAATGAAACACAAATCTCCAAGTATGTTTTGATGATGAAACAACATAATAATATAAATCAGCATAATATGGATCCTTTAAAAGTACACTATGTAACTTTTCTTGAGTGTATATGCCACCTGCTTGTCTCCATGGAGATGTTATTGCTTAGCCTGGAATGTTCCACGGTAACATTAGATAAGTTAATTAAACTTAACTTTCTCTGTGGAGACATGCAGATGATGTCATCAGGCCAAGTTACAGGTCAGATATTTGGAAAGGTGACCCCATTCACAGTAAGAATGCATGTTTTTGCTCAAGTATTTTGAACACAAAGCACCTACAATTAAATGGCAGATACACTTAATGCCATACTGTGGAACATTACAGTCACTAGAAAAAATACATAGTGCATTAAAAAAAATCAAGTACTTTAAATAACAAAATGCTATTACTTAAAGATGCACCTCACAACTTTTCTGGTGAAGGGTCCGCTACCTGCTTGTCTCTATAGAAATGTTATTGCTTTGTCTAGAATGTTCTGCAGTACACAATAAATATATCATGAGGGAGATCAGCAGGTCACAGCACTACACAATATTACATTTCAGATCTGTGGAGAGTCACCCCTATTCATAGAAGGAATTACTGTATTTTTGAGCAATACAAACACATGTAATGAATAAATGCTAGATGGAAATGTTTAATGTCATACCATGGAACATTCCAGGGAAAACAATAACATCTCCAAGGAGACAAGCAGGTAGCAGACCCTCCACCAGCAAAGTTACACAGGGCACTTTTAAAGATTGTTGGTAAAATGATTAAACACATTTTTATCAATGAATGGTACAGTCTCTTTGACACTTTTCTTCTTGATGAGGTGGTCTTTTCCCCAAACTAGCTTTCTCACACAAATCTTTATAGTTATCACTATATACTGGACTAATCCAAGCTGTCAGTGAGTGATCCTGCTGCAGTTTGGTGTAAATCCTTAAAATTCCTGTTGTAATTAATTTCACACCATATGCACGCCTCACTTCTTTCATTCTCTATTTAACTTTGCCGGTAATAATGAGCTCCAAGCACATGTTTACTCTTTGGGTTTATTATAAGACACTGGCGATTTTTCCCTGGTCAAAGTTATCAGAGTTGAATACTTGTAGTCCTCCCATTCTCGTGTTTAGTCTGAGAGCTGCACCATCTGTGATACAGCTGCCTATTCTAATCAGAACAATGATAATATCTCCTCTCCCTCATATAGCTTTTATTCTTACTGTGAGTTTTGAAAGTGAAAAACAAAAAACAAATAAACAAAAAACCTAAACAAAACAAAAAAACAAAACAATGGGACTGTAAAATTAGATTTGGTGTATTTGTGTGTATTTGTGTGTATTTTAAGGTTGAATAAAAACAACTGAATAAAAAGCATCAATTGTGTAATACATTGTTTACTAACAGTCACACCTGTTCTTGAATTGTGATTTTTCTGACAAGCATTGCCATAACAATTAAATTGGTTATGCTTTAAGTTTAAGATGTTTTACCATTCAAGATGCATAGTTTACATTTGTCTGGAAACATTCACCTTCATGAGAAACCGCTAAACTAAATGTAAGAGATGCAACCCCACTCACAGTAAGGAATTATGTTTTCAAGGTAATTCTGAGCAAAACCCCTTACCATTCTGAGGGCCCATGCGTGGGCCCTTGTACTTTTTCTCAGTTCATTTCTATTTGCCAAACTTCTGATAAAAGGGAACTCTTAATCTCACATATAAAACATTAATTGAAATCTGTCACCCACTTATTTTTGTACTTTGTTTGTGCTCTAAACATTTGCTAACTTCATTCAAACTGTTATTTTAACATGATTGTGATAAATCTTTCAGTAAATGTAGATTTCATGTGATTCTGATGTATACTACAGCAGCAGTCACCTGGCTCAGTGTGGTGTCAGCATTTGTTACAGTATGTCCATCCTCCTCTTCCTTCTCTTCCTCCTCTTCCTCCTGCTGGCCGTCCTTCATCGTCTGTGCGTCTCATGCCCCTCAGCCCTGACACCAGTGTCTCTTTGAAGTACTCTTTTAAGTGTACAATTAAGGCCCTCCACCAGACAGCGCACTCACTTCTCACCTTTTTAATAAGGCACACATAGACAAGTGTCCCAGGCTTTCTTCTGTGTCTATCACACACACTTTGTCACACGCACACTTAGCTGGACAAGTCTTCGCAGCAGGCTTGTAAATTCTTTGTCACTTGGCTGTGAACTTGGAGACCCCCTTCTTCGGTAGAGTACAGTACATGTGTGCGCACAGATAAGGGGGAGTGGGCTTCACCAGTGACTCAGAGTAAATGGAGTTTCCGCTGCTTTGATACAGAGTGAATCAGTCAGAGTGTGGGGTGAGAGAGCTATTAGTACAAAAGACCACCACACTCACCTTCTTTTAGAGGAACAGGTTCATTAAAATATATTCATAATCTCAACAGCTTTCTACAGGATGGTAAAGTTGTGTGGACTATGTTTACATTATTTGTATTGCTGCACATTATCTTAAGAAAAAAAAAGTTAATTAAATCATGAAATAATCTCACAAATCTAAATAAATTATTTAAAGCACCACTGGCTATATATTTAAGTCCAGACATTGTGTTTCAAAATGAATATGTGTTGCGCAGTTCTAACTGGAGTGCAATCTGTAATTTGTTTGGTGCAACTTTCAAAGTATAAAAGGCAATGTCTTGGTAACATGTAAATTTTTAATATTTAAGAAGCTTTAATATCTACAATCACATGCTACATGTTCTGTATTTATACATACTCTGTAAGATCTCTCCTCTATGTCTCATTTAGATAAGAGTCTCTAAGGTGGTGTGCAGACTGAACTGTGCTCCAGAGTTCAGAGGCTTTAAGAGGCCGACATGGAGCTAAGCCTGTGACTATTGAGTTAGATTGAGGGGATATTCCGAGTGCAAACACAGACGCTCTCCTTTCTATAATAACTTCCTGAGCAGCAGCGGTGGTGGCTCAGTGTTGAGCTCTTTAAGAGAGTGGCCTTTGAGCAGACAGACTTTCCCTTCCCTGGCTCTCCCCCTTTGCGTGGTCTCTGTCATTAATAATGTGATATTGTCCCATCTGTTGGGGGAGCAGCGCGCAGCACGTGTTTGTAGTTAGGCTCATCAGAACCTGATGTGGGGCTGGCGGGAAAGAGGGCAGCCTGAACTGGGAAGCCTGGTCTGCAATGGGAACGCTAATGAAATCTCAAGAGCACTTCAGTACTCAGGTAGTGTACATATACTGCACACATGTACATATACTGCATACGTCTGTGAGTGAGTTTGCTGAAAGTTTATAGGAGCACATGAGAAGTGTGTAGAAGAGGGAATGAAGTCGTTTTTGAGCTGTTGCCACTTTCCCATGTTTTGTCTCCTCTGTGTTTCTTTGCCCTGTGGCTATGGGCCAAATGTTTACATGCACATATTCTCCAATATAATTACATTGTCTTCACTGATTGTTGTACAAAGTAGGTGCCCTGGGACACGTCTGAACTGACAACACTATTAACATATTTGTAAGATGCCATAATGTAAAACAAAACATGAAAATATTGTGATCAAAGGCCTTGTTCTACCCACTGCTATTACCCCACCTCCAGACGGGTTGCTGCAATCATTCTGTGCTAAATCAAATGCAGAAATAAACATCTCTGGGGTTTGAGTCCACAGCCAAAAGCCTCAGTTCAGATCCCACACTTTACAGAGTGGTTTGGGTACACAGCTGCGATGCCACACACTGGATAATGCATTTGGAGTGTAGATTCTAAAAGTAATTTGTTTCAATGAAAGACTACTTAAGGCTCACTGGTGTTTGGTTTAACCTGCCATAATATACTCAATATCAAATTTGTATTGGACTTATTATCATTATGATTGTTAAAAGGTGTTTCTTTTACAGTTTCCCAAAATACAGCCCCCTGTAGAGCTGTTCTCAATTCCACAATGCCACAATGCCACAATGCCACAATGCTAAAAGTCTTACTGGGATAATGGGAAAACTTGCTATAATGGCTCCCTCAAAATCATTTAACTACAATATCCTCCCAAAGCGTGAAACCAGAGAAGTCAGTAATTTGTGAGGTCAACTTGGTGATATGCCAGGAGCGACAATCAAGATCAGACAAACTAATGTGAAACGTTTCCAAAAATGTAAAACATCTCTTATAAAAACCTTAGTCTGAATCAATACAAATGCAGTCAGAGAATCTTGGGGATATCTTTGTTGCAATTTAAAAAGAAGAAATTCTACTCTGAGAAGGAAATGGATGTTCAATCATCTGATTTGATTCATTGCATGTTACTCTACTGTATTTATCTAATCTATTATTAGGAGTATCTTCAAAATATAAATGTTTGTATAGTGAGCATTTCATTTCTATTTATCTATTCTATTTTCTTGCATAAATGACATGCTTACACTTGAGTGTGTTGTTTTTTATGTGTGTCTTCACAAGCTTTCAAGCGCCCGCTCTGATGTGCGTTGCAGGCCGCAGTAGGCTGGAGGCCAAGTTACATCTTGCAGCAATTAAGCTGCATGCGTCTCTTACGCCCCTCCACTGGTCCAGTGCAGGCTCTGGTTTCAAGGCCGGATCACACTAGACAAACTGACAGCATTGGTGAACACGACTCAACGTAGCAACAGCATGTTGCACACATTTTTCAAATGTTTTTATTTTTTATACTTCTCTCTCTGTTGAATCTGCAGCCATATTTGTCTGTGATTTACGTTTCTGTTGCCTTCATTTACTGTCTGAGCATTCATTACAATCACATCAAAATGTGTGAGCACTTCTGTGGTTTCAGAGCTGTGCCAAGATCAAGAAGGCCCGTTCTCAATGCAGAGTCAAAATGCACATGACAACACAAATAGGCCTAGTCAAAATCTGCTTAGTACACACTGGTGTTTCTGCAATGTTATTAGAAATCACAGTTTACCTGTATAAACAGTATTATCACCCACACATAAAAAAGATAAGCACACATTTTCTTTACCAGAGTAGGTATCTACCAGTCCTTTTTTAAAGATAAAAAGGATTGTTTTTACCTTGACATGTTTAGGTGAGCATCTGCCCTCTTCCTTAGAAGCATCATCCGACTGCTGCGTCACTGATCAGCTGGTCTGATGTGGCCAGCCTGACAGATCAGACAGGTCTGAGGCCACACTCCCTGCTGCCTGGTGATCTCCACATCCCAGACGTGTGGGAGCATAAATGTTCCTTCATCTGTGTTTACAGTGTTTTTTCCCCATTTTCTAATTTCAATTGCCCATATCCAGTGTTTGTATCTGTGTCCTTTCATTTCAATAAATTTTTTGGTTTTCCCATTCCATAATATGATTTTCACATTTGCAGTGGTCCTCTGGTCCTATTGCTGAATTGAGATTTTCCTGGTGTGCGTTCTTTCTTTCTGCCTTTTTGAGTCATCTGGTGGTTTGTTTTTCCTTTCCTTTTGATGTACTGAAATGTCTACCTGTTTCCCCCGATGTATGAATTATTTAATATTTTGCATGGTATATATCTGGTTTGGGGACCACAGGATTTCATCCCTGCTGTTTGCAGACGATGTTGTCCTGTTGGCTTCATCGAACCAGGACCTGCAATGTGCACTGGGGCGGTTTGCAGCCGAGTGTGAAGCGGCTGGGATGAAGATCAGCTCTTCTAAGTCTGAGGCCATGGTTCTCGACCGGAAAAAGGTGGCTTGCCCTCTCCGGGTGGGTGGAGAGTCCCTGCCTCAAGTGGAGGAGTTCAAGTATCTCGGGGTCTTGTTCACGAGTGAGGGGAGGACAGAACGTGAGATTGACAGGCGGATCGGTGCAGCTTCGGCAGTGATGCGGTCGCTGTATCGGACCGTTGTGGTGAAGAGGGAGCTGAGCCGAAAGGCGAAGCTCTCGATTTACCGGTCAGTCTTCGTTCCTACTCTCACCTATGGTCATGAGCTCTGGGTAGTGACCGAAAGGTCGAGATCGCGGATACAAGCGCTTGAAATGAGTTTCCTCCGCAGGGTGACTGGGCGCTCCCTTAGAGATAGGGTGAGGAGCTCAGTCACACGGGAGGAGCTCAGAGTAGAGCCGCTGCTCCTCCACGTCGAGAGGAGCCAGTTGAGGTGGCTCGGGCATCTGTTCCGGATGCCTCCTGGACGCCTCCCTCGGGAGGTGTTCTTTGCATGTCCCACCGGGAGGAGGCCCCGGGGAAGACCCAGGACACGCTGGAGGGACTATGTCTCTCTGCTGGCCTGGGAACGCCTCGGGGTCCCCCGGAGGAGCTGGAGGACATGTCTGGGGTGAAGGAAGTCTGGAAGTCCCTGCTTAGGCTGCTGTCCCCGTGACCTGGCCCCGGATAATCGGATGAAAATGGATGGATGGATGGATGGTATATAGTGCATTTTTGATCCTGTTGTATTTTGCCCTTCAGGGGCACCAGTACCTGTCTTAGTTTTGTATGTGGCACTACTATGAAAACTGCTTATACCCTAGGTGGGCTATATAAAAGGGAAAACAGCAGGTTTAAAACAAATACATTTTTATAAATAAATAAACAAAAGAAGGCTAAGAAACAACATAGCCAGATGGGACAATGACTTCAAGGACGTAATCACAATACCATACATATGGGATCACAGAGCCAATACCAAGCATCCTGAGTAAACAAAACATTAATACTATTGTAAAACCACATTCAAAAAGAAGAATACTACTGTCTTGTGTTATATTGATGAATTTTAATAATGGTATCTATCAGTCCTACCTCCCTCAGCTCCCCTGGATATCTTTCACACCTGCCAAACATAGGAAACACCAAAAGATTTCTTCTGCAGTTACACAAACACACTGTTGGTGGAGCCCCATTGGCAGAATAACACCAGCACAGATACGTCTGCTTACTCAGAGTGGGATCTTGGCCAGTGACGCACATCACTGAGCAGCCATAAAACTCTATTTACTCAGTACACAGATTGGGAAATATTCGGAAATGTAAACAAATTGTCTGTGCAGTGGCATTTTTAGGCCTTTTTAATTGCTTTGGATATCACATCATAACAAGCAAATGTAATATCAACACAAGAGAGTCTAAGCTCTGAGTGCAGTGTGATCCACAAATCTTTTTGTACACATCTCCAGTATTTATGTTTATGTTAGAATTTTCCCTTTTTATGTTCTCTTGTTGTCGGATTGAGGTTTAGTTGTCCTGTGAATTTCATTATTTTACCTTTGAATATATGCAGCCAACATTTTAATTAATGGTCAAGTATTATTAATGTAAAAAGCTCTTTCTCATATTAATCTCGGGTCATCTAGTAGGACCTGACTTGGTGTTATTGTATTTTTTTCTTCTCTTTGGCTCCAGTCTTTTCTCATTTCCTCTCAAATGGACTCCTTCAGGCCTGGTTCTCTGCTGTGTTTTGACCTTCTGTTACAACTTCTTCAATGTTGGAACTATCCAGATTCATACTTATGACATACACTAACAATCCTGTTTCTTATAGTAGCAGTAATTTATTTATTTTTTTCCCCATTTTCCATTCATGGTGTTGTTACCAAAATCATATTTTAAAGGTGCACTATGTTTTGGTTGGGGGTCCATCACCTTCTTGTTTCTATGGATATGTCATTGTCATCTACCTGGAATGTTCCACAGTATGACATTAAACAGCTCTACTTTACATTTATTCAATTATAGGTGGTTTTATAGCTCAAAAGTACCTAGAAAAACAGGCATTCTGTCTGAGAGTGGGTTGCCTCTCCACAGACCTCACCTGTAACTTGTACTGGTCGGACTCCTTGAGGATAGAAAGGTTTAATACCATATTATGAAACGTTCCAGATAAAGCAATAACATCATGGAGTAAAGAATTTGACGGATCATCCACCAGAAAAGTTACACGATGCACCTCTAAATGTAATCACAGAAATCTTTAAAAAAAAACATGTTTAAAATAGCTATTTAAAAGCAGTACAGACAAAATAATATTACTTCTTTAAAATTATTTTGTGAAGCCCTTTTGAAGCAATAGTACTGACTCAAATTGTTTGGCCTAAAGAAAATAGATCAGAAGAAAAAAGACCGCAGATACCAGTCCTGAAATATTAGCCCAAACACTAACTTGGTAATGACTCCTATATGAATGCTCTTACTTTCATGTAGCGCAGCAGGATTCCCCCTGCCACTCAAAGTCGTCAGGATGCTGGGCACAGGTCCTGGCTGGATTAGGATCACAGCGTTAGATCTGTGTGCACACTCCTGAGGCCCAGGCAAGAGCCACTGGGACAGATGTATTGACATGTAGTTGGTGTGTAAAAGCAAGTTAGCGTGTGCTCAGATGTGCTGTATGTTTGGTTAGTGGGTCTCAGAGCCAGGGCAGGAAGCGCTGCCACAGGTCAGAGGAAACAGAGCTTCAAATAAATGACCCAGAGTTAGGCTGGCAGCACTTCTGAGAGGGTACACTCAGTGGATCCTGTGTGTTGACATGAAGGATGCCGTGCATAAGCCAAGAGCAAAGTAAACAATGCTTCTCCACATGTAAATCAATAAATGCAAGAAAGATAAGTTTAATCCTATACTATGAAACATTCTAAGCATTAACATTTCTATGGTTTCAGAACCTCCACCAGAAAAGTTTTGTAGTACACCTTTAAACCACAATTAGTTGTTTTAGCATTAGTCTGAGGTTTTAAGGGGAAAATTAGTTTTCTAAGTTATTAAGTGAGATGCTCACATCTCAGGTGGTAAACATACATTGCCTCTCAATAGACGCAAAAAGGGGCTCTATTTGACAAACATTGCCCTCTAGTGGCTGTACAAATCATATTCCTTTTCTCAGCCTGCTGTCCTCAATCTTATCTGTTGCCATAAAATATCTATCTATGCTCATTTGAGACTTCACTAATTATGCCTAACAACTGTATAGCTCTTTTCAAGATGCCAAAGACACTGGAAATGTAAGGATAAACAGAACACGTTACAATTTAAAAAAAAGTTTATTAAAATAAAATACCATATAAAACAGTATTTTTGTCTCTACAAAACTGAAAATCACAAATGCCTTTTCTTGGTTCAATGGCACATAGTACGTGTGCACCCTGATGGCTGTACTAATCTCAGATGCTTCTTATACAGAAACTTTATTTGTTGAAAGTGTGCTTTGTGAGAGTTGGAAATAGTTGCCATAAAAATAAATAGAGTTCTGCTAAGGCATAGCATATGAAAGCGGTCAGCATGTATTTTCAGACTCTGTTTAGAGTACCTGTAGAAGCACAACGCTTTATATAAACAAATGTGATAAGAATACGATTGTTTATGTGCTTTTCAGTACAGATTGTTTTAAAGTACAGACAAAATAAGTGTCTGTTTTGCTAGGTGTGGACAGTAAGGAAAATATTGCATATAAATATTTGTCCAAGTAAATGTTCAGAAAATGTTCCATTAGGGAACCTTTACAGTAACTTGTGTACTTGCACTCACAAAAGAATTTGAATTGGCATGGTAAATTCAAAACAACATTGTAGATTACAGATTGTGTATACAGATGTGAACTGAAATGTCAATAGACCATGATTCAATCACTACACACTCGTCAGTGTTTGATACAGTATAATACAATAGTACAGTAACTTGAAAAGGACAAATATAGTATATTTAATTTAAGTCTTGCTAAAAACAGCAATTAAAACAATCTCATGCATTTTCTTCATAGAAATACACACACTTAAATTTTGGGTTGGCTTGAAGCGCATGCATAAAAAACACATCACAAATAATTGTGATTGTTTTAGAAAATTGCTGACTATGGACATGAACTTGGACCAGACAGCCCCGACTGGTGTATCATAAAAATAGATCCAACTGAAAGTGATTAAACAAAGAGTAAAAAATTGAAGAGGCTGATTAGTGGACACATATTGGCACGCACCTTTACAACAGCATCTGATTTGGGGTTAGCACATCCACAGTGTTTGATTTTAAGTTTGGCTGGTGTATTAAGGAAGGCCTCCAAGTTCAAACAACATCTGGAGGCTAAAGTTTACCTAAAGTATCTTCACCATATGACTGATGACTTGATACCTGAAGATCGGTCAAAGAAGACATTGGCAAAGGCAGCAGAAGTATGACTGTAAACATTTCCTCATGTGGAGTTTGTCCAGAGGCGCCATATGCTGCCTTGGATTTAACACAAACAGCACATGAATATGGGTGGTCACAACACTTTTAGAAATGAGCCCCAAACTCTCAGCAGGCCTCCTTGGCTTGGCTAGGCATCTTACACATCATGAGGATCTGCTTCAAGGCTTTCTGGACATCTTCATCCATCTGACCCTGCAAGCACAATATTCATGGTTCAGGGGAGATGCAGAAAAAAGAAGTCACCCCTTTTGAGTATGTTGAATGTTTGCTTTCCTCAAAAGAAACACTTGTAAATACTCAGACTGACTTCTTTATGTGAAAAGTTCCAGAGCTGCGCATGGGTCTAATTATATCAATAGACGTCATTATCATTTGCTAAAACTGTTCAATAAAATGATCACTTCTGCAAACATTCAGTCAATAAAAATGCCATTCTCTGTTAAATGTGTGAGTCTAGTAAGACACTGATTATGCATTTAAGAAACAGGATTATGTTTGTATCCTTAATATTTAGGATATCAATTAATTTTCATCTTGTACTACGATATACCAGAGCATTTCTGTACTTGTGATATTAATAGCAATAAGCTATCAATTTACCTGGACAGCATAGAGCAGGTGCATTCTGTAAACAGAGACTATCTCATGGTGCTGTTTCTTTGACTCCTACAGAAAAACAGTGATGTGTGGCAATCATTAAATTGTTTTTTTTTCTGTCTATAGATATTAAAGATAAAAAATGCAAGTAATCACTTACTGCTAACTGATACTGCAGCTGTTTAATTTGCTGCTGCATCGTTTCCACTTGCTGGTTTTGTTGCTGTCTCTTGGACGGAGAGCTGGAGTTGTAGGAGAGCAGTGACAGGCTGTTTAAAGCATCCTTGAGCTTACAGACCTCTCGAGACAGATCATCTATCTGTAAGGCATACAGTGTTGTCACAGTGAGCCCTGGATTCTCCACTCATGAGCCTGCATATAGTAGCACTCACCCGTTTGTTCTTCTCTCGCTCTGAGGCCACATGGTTCTCCACCAGCTGCTTTAGTTGACTCACAGCATCCTGAGACTCAGTCAGCCTGGTACTCAGTGTCTGGTTCTCCTTCTCCCTCGACATCACCAGCTCCTGCAGGGCCTCTCTCTCAGCGCGGTTATCGCGAGCCTGAGGAGTTCAATTATATTAAATATATTTGACTGAAACATACTAATTGTATTTTCAAACAGTTGTGTAGTACTTGTTGCCATGCATCAGCAGCCTCTAGGGCCATCTCATCCTGCTTCCGAAGGGCCCCCTGGAGGAGCTGCGTCAGGTGGCTCACTTCACCCTTCAGCTGTTCTTTCATGGTCTCATGCTCTATACGAGACACTGAGTCATCTGAGGATTTATCTGACACAAGTCTGTAAGGATCAACATAATTTTAAGTTAACTTAAGTTTTAAGTTTCATTACTTTCTTTTGTATTTGCCTGAATAACTCCTCACCCGCTCTGAAGAGCATCCAGCTGCAATGTCTTCTGATGTAACTGTTCTTTGAGTGTGTCCAGTTGTTTCTCCAGATCTTTAATGGCATTTCCCAAAGAGGCCACTACTTGTGTGTGGTCTGTGAGAGACACTGAACTTTCCATCTGCCTCTCAGCCTCCTGCTGGAGCTGTGTGATCTCTTGTTGAGCAGCACAGTACTTGCTCTCCATCTCCTGGAGACTGGCCTGCAGCTCCTCCACTCTGCTTTGGAGCACTTCAGTCTGTCCTTGCTGTTGCTCTGAAGTCGGAGAGGAAGAAGCACTGTAATCTGAAAGCTGTTTCTGTGCAGCACTAAGCTGGCTTTTAGTTTCACTGTATGAGTGTGAGAGCTCCAGCAGACGCCTCTGTAGTCCAGAGATCACTTCATTCATCTCTCCCTTCATTTCTTCAAAGTCTTTAGCAGCAGCTTCTACAGGAACTGTTCCCCTCAGAGCCTCCTGAACAAAGCAATCAACAACACACCCTTGAAGTCAGTAAAGTTTGCATGTGTAATCTCACACCATAGACTGTATATAAGTCTGTATAAATCTATGTATACAGTCTGTGCTCACAACATAACAGGATCTTTCAGAACAGGCTTGAATGATGCATTCAGTCCATCTAAAACACTGTACACTAAACACATCTTGGAGCATCCTGATCTTACCTGGAGCATTCTGATCTCCTCTTGAGCCTCTTTGTACAGCTCCTCAATCTGCGTGTTCTGCTGTTCTTTTCCATTTTGCTTGTCCTCTGTCCTCCTCAGAGCCTCCTCCAGATGTTTTATTTGTACAAGACACTTCTCTTTTTGGCTTTCAGACTGCAGGAGCTGAGCCCTGAGTTGTTTTACTTCATGTTCCTGCATCAGTGCTCTTCTCTGTACATCCTGTTTCTCATCACTGTCCCCAGGTCCAATCAGCAGCCTCAGCTCCTCCACCTCCTCCAGGGCCTGGTGGTATCTCTCTTGTGTGTCTGTGAGTTTGGCCTGAAGCTCAGCCAGGCTCTCCATCAGCTCAGCCTCACGTTCTTTCTCTCTCCCCCCCTCATCCTCTTCCCGCAGTCTCTCGGGTCGCAGCTGTGCTTGAAGGGAGCGGTTCTCCTTTCTGGTTTCTAATAATTTGACCTGTACGCTCTCTAAAGCCTGGCGGAGCAGCTGAATCTCCTCTTTGCCCCCTCCTTCTTCTTTCTGACCGTCTCCCTCTTCAGTCTGCCTGTCTGGATGGGACAGTGACACCTCCAACTCATCCTGGGTGGAGTGGAAGGATGAGTTGGAGGTTAGACTGTTGGGTCGACTGCTGTTCTGAAGTTCATTGTTGTTATAAGGCTGAAACAAGAGAAAGGCATCACAGCTCTAATGCTTATATTTAGACCCCAAGTCCATCTGTAAACTGCTTAGAAGGATAATAATTAAGAATGTTACAACTTAAGTCTTATGTCTGTGAACATATAACACTATGGCCCTTTTTTATGGGCTGTCATTCTAGACTGTGAACACTTTTAAAACCCTATTATTATAGTTCTAGACTGAACAATCTTGAGTTTGTTTGATGAAGTAATGCACAAAATAAATCTGATCAACCTGAGGGGGTATTCCATTAAAGTGGCTTAACAAATCCAGACTTATCTTGAAATCCTGAGCTGAATCTAGCCACATCTTTATCTTAAGCATCAAGTCGTTCCATGACAGAAATAAGCCTGGGTCTATCTAAAGCTAATTCAGGCCTGAAGTATAAGCTGTGCTTCATGTGTGCTCGCTGTGACCCTAGAAAGGCCAGAGCAATGGAGCAATGACATTACGGGAAATGGGCCAAAAATCTGATGTTTCTTATGATCTGACTAAACGAGAAAGGAGCCACAGTGCGCACCTGCAGAATTTAATTTGGGGCACGACTGACTCCCCCCTCCTCCCCTGTTCGCTCTGCAGGTAGAGAGGAGGATGGCTGTGGAGTGCTGAGCCTGGTTAATACACCCAGGGAATGAACTTGCCTGACCCTTTCCCAATGTGCAGTAGTATGTGCAGAGCTTACGTTCCACTGTGCATAAATGTGAAGCTGGAACAGACCTCTTCACATGTAGTCTTGAAGAAACAATAAAATCCGCGCTAAGGTGCTTGCTGTTTGACAGGGAGCAAGAGACACGCGTGATGAAGGAGCGAACAGACAGAACCCACAAAAAACAGTTCATCCTCAGAGTCCAAACCAGTGTCTGTCTGAGCGTAAAAGCTGCACTGCCCCTCACATCAGCCATGTGTAAGATCATTATAACGAAACAATGGCCATAGACTTTTATATGGTTTGTGCCTTTTTGATGACAGCTGCGTACACAGACACGTGTGTCCTGTGCGTAGGAGTGCGCATGGACTGTAAAAGTCTAAAGGGTCACACATGACTTTAAAAGTCACTTTTTCAACTGTATCAGACAGAGACAGGTGTTCTAACACACGTGTGTGAGTGCACGTGTTGAAATTTTTGACTAAACTGTTTCTTTAGGCATTCTTGGAGACAAAGCTAAAATAATCTTCACAGTTAATATGGTCCTGACCAGGCTTGTTTCCGGGTGCTTATTACTACATAACTCAGCGCCACCTCTTGTCAGTGACTTGGAACTGAACTGAGGCTTTGTTAAGCCTGGATTGCCCAAATAAGCCAGGTTTTAGCTTTATCTTGCTTCGTGGAACACCCCCCTGTGATATTTCTTGAAGCAAATGTGGTTGGGTTTTCAAAACGTTTGAAATCAAATGAAACAATTCAACTTCACAGACCTTTGTTTATTAATGCCTTTGTATGTTGTTATGTGTTAACTAAATGGTGATATAGTGACTGACTTACTTTACTCTTGCATTTAAGTTGCTGGTTTTCCAGAGTAAGAGCAGTAATCTTTGCTTGCAGAGCAGAAACCAGAGCTGAAGATGCAGTTAGACTGTACTCATCCTGTCAACACATTCACATGCAAAGGCCCACAAAAGACATGAAAGCCATGTTTAGGACCACTAGCTACCTTCTGCAAAACAAAACATGCCATGACACGTCTTAAGCTTGAGTTATACTTTTACAAGAATGCCTAAGGTGAAAAAGTTCAACACTCTACAAACATCCCAGCAAGGGTTACACTGGAAATAGCAAAAAGATTAGTAGTCCAATTAGTCAAAGCAACACAATGCATCCAGCATGCATTTCAAAGCAAGAGCAACGTACATTAGTTTACCTCACTTGTTTTGAAATAAACTAGTCGTGACTTAAACGCCCCCCCCTACACACGCACGCACACACACACACACGCACACGCACGCACACACACACACACGCACACGCACACGCACACGCACACGCACACACACACACACACACACACACACACACACACATAGAAATATGGTTAACTTGGTCTTACCTTTTCTGATTCTGTCCCTGTTTGTTCCATGGTGAGTTTCATGTCTTCAATAGTGCTGAGTAACATATTTTTCTCTTCTTGGAGCTCTTTCTGTGCCATTCTTCTGAGCTCATCCTCCTGTGAAAAAGACAGAAGGCAGTGAAGGAGCGGGAAAGAGGAGTGGGAGGGGGTATGGCCAAATGATGAATGAGAAGGAGTGGAATCAAGTGGAGGTAAGGGACGAGATTGGTAAATAGAAAAGGAAAAAAATGGGTAAAGCCATATTCAGCATAGTTGGTGTGCTAGCGAGTCATATATCATAGTTAACACATAAACATGTGTGCCCTAGGTTCCCATGAAAGAATGTTATGTCTTAAATAAAAAACAATAACAATACTACATGCTAGTTTTACTATTCAATAAAGACAAATAAATAATTATTTGCCTCCATACAAAAATGTTTTCAAAATGTTTCCTTCACATGCTCATAGGTATGGTTATTAGTTATTTGTGTATTCTGTTTCAAAGCCTGTATATTTGTTCCCTTTTTACCTTGTAATTGAATCGTTTTGGAGTGTCACTTTTGCTAGAGGCAGGTGTGCCAGTGGAGGTGGCAGCTGAGGGAGATGAGGGTCCAGAGCTCTAAAGGAAAAAAATTTAATTACTTTAATATTTTTAATGGGCAGAATTGGAAATATTTAAGTTTGTATTCTTTGTAAAATCATAATGTACTATTTTTGCATATTGCTTTCAGCCAAAGGTTCTTTCACACATAAGATATAGTATTAAACTATTTCTATGCTGCAACAACTTCTAAGCTGTATGTCAAATCACACATTCTCAAATGCTGCAAGTGTAGCAGACTGAATTGGACAGGCATTTACCTGCAGTGGGCTAATAGGAGGTGGAGGTGCTTTTCGTTTTTTGGGGGTTGTGATCCGTTCATCAGTTAGCTTAGCTACTTGATCATGCTAAGGAGTCAGCAAAGACAAAAGAGAAGCAACAGAAAAGGATAAGTATGACTGGTGCTGGTTAGTTTGAAAAGAATCAGTCAAGACTAGATTTCTTTAGACTTTGTTACAAATCATAGGTGACTACAGAAGTGTCAAACATGTTTATTTTGAATGTGTTACTCTCAGTGATTCAGTGAAAGGCCAGCTAGCTTTCAGTTAAAATGTTAAATTATACTGTGTATAATGAAAGGTGGCATTTGTTACATTCTGGGTATTAACAAATTACAGAGTTTTCCCTTTCGAGATATTTATTTTTGCTGGTTATGTCTAAGTAAGGTAAAATAAAACAAAAAATTACCTGGGGGCTTCGTATTGGTCTTGGACCTGTCACAGAAGAATACGCTTTTATTATACATACACACACACACACACACACACATATATATACATATATACACACACACACATATATATATACATATATATATACACACACACATATATATATAAACATATATACACACACACACACACACACACACATTATATATATATATATATATATATATATATATATATATATATATATATATATATATATATATATATGAGAGAGAGAGAGAGAGTCACTTTTTCAACCTGCAGGTAGTAAATTATATACATATATATATAATTTACTACCTGCAGGTGGCAGTGTTGGTTACTTTTTAATAGCTGTTAAGTGATGTAGAAGGGGCTACTGTTTAGATTACCTTACCTGTGACCTGGTGCTTAGCTAGAGCCATCTGCATCTCAGAGTTGGAGGATAGTTTGCTGTAGTGACCCACACCATGGCCTTGTGAGTCCACAGCTGACAGATCTGCTCCATGCTGAACCAAAGTGTCCACCACTGCAGCAGAGCTGCTCTCACAGGCCAGCATTACTGCTGTCCTAAAACACAGGCATCTGCATCGTCATACTTAAGTGCTCATAAAAATAATGCACCTGTGAATAACAAGGTGCTATAGTATGTAAAGTTAGTTAAAACAGCTTGGTACCTGCCACTGTTGTCAGAAGCATTGATTTCAGCCCCACACTCCAGCAACACACTGGCCACTTCAGCATGTCCATGTCTGGCTGACAACAGCAGTGGGGTGAGCCCATCCTAGTGCAGAAATAATAATTATAATTATGGATTTATGGAGATATATGTTTTATAGACAGAAAGGCAGACAGACAGACAGACAGACAAGATTAGATAGGTAGATAGATAGATAGATAGATAGATAGATAGGCAGGCAAGGGCTCACTGTGAATAACTATAGTGGTAAAAGAATAGGTTGAATATGTGAACATTGTGTAGCTGTGTGTTAAATTACCAGGCTGCTGTTTCCACTCTGACCACAGTAAGGCCAAACTATGTTGTGGGTTTCTCTGAGCTTTACCAATATCTTTAACAGTCTTTCAGCACAGACATTCAGTTTTTTTTTTTTACAGTCAGCTGTTGCTACCCTGGTAAAAGCATATATATATATATTTTTTTTTTCTGTAAATTTTCCTGTATCTATTTCCTGAAGAAGAAGGTTGGACATGTTCTACCATGTTTGCTCACATGTTGGTACACTCCCCTATAAAACACAGAGTGACTAGTGAAGTTGTTATTGTTAAAGCAATTGCAACACTGTGTCTATTTTATCAGAGCTAGTGAGTAGTAACCAGTTGCTTTAACTCAATTACATTTACTTTTCAAAGTAAGATAATTTTATCACAAGGTACTTGTAACTTGTTCTATTACTTTTTACTACTATTACTATTAAAAGTATAGTTAATTTTATGTTGTAATTTGGAAAAATCTGTTATTCCATTGTAAATAACACATTTTTAGTTTTTTAGAAAATACCTGCTTGCCAAATAATTGATGATATAACATAAATAGTCAAGATGTTTATGTAAATGTAAACAGATATCAGTAAGCCAATGCTTCCTTTATGTGGCTTGGTTTCAGATATACTTTCCTTGCAGCACAATATAAAGCACTACATTCAATGTCCTGCTTATGTAAGAGATGGCAGATGTTCCTATGTTCTTTTCATTGTTTGACGTTTACTTAAGTACAGTATAATAAAATTCAGGTGTTGATGTGTGTATCCCTCAGGCTAAATGGTTCAACATTGAACACTTACAGACCACAGGATACTCTGGTGTCTATAAGTCACCCCAGCAGTCAGTACAGCTCTGAGACACATGCTCTTGATCACTGCCCAGTGGTAGGTCTCTCTCCAAATGCTATTGAGCTGCTCAGTGGAGATTAGAAGATATGGGGGCAGGTCTGAGAAGCTTTTATTAATTCTTCTATACTCTTCTCTTCTATGGTGAAAGACATAATATGTAGACTTTCAGAACATGTAAATGCAATGTGGATGGTGTGCCTAGTACTACAGGAGAAAATATGAGAAAGAAAGGGTAATGTAGTCTCTAACATTATCCCACTTTCTCTTGTAAGCGAGTCTCATGTTCTCACTTCACTGTTGGCTAAAACCACAAGCATGGAGCAGCACTGCAATGGAGACCACATGTCTGCAGATTCAGAGCTAGTTCCCACAGTACTGACCTATTGCCACGTCATACACTCACAACATTCACAATATCAATCAAAATGTTAGCCACCAAGAGGGCAATTATTCATCTGGACTTGCAATGCTTTAAATAAGAGCTTTCCAACTTTGTAAAACATAGCAACCTCTAATATTGTGCTAGACATGCTAGACTTATGGAATGTAAAATTGAAAACACTTACTGCATCCCTAATGTTGATTGGAGAGTTTAGTTCACAGAGTAACTGAAGAGCTTGGACGCTCCCACAGGCAGCTGATAAAAAATAAGAACAGTTACATCTGTAACATTTTCCATCTGAATGTAGTCTGTTGACACAAACCCGTACCTGCATGATGGAGGGCAGTCTTTCCCGAGCTGTCGACGGTGTCTACTGGACATTTGTTCTGAAGATCAGAATGATTGAAAGATTGAAAGAGCTGATATTTTTTAAAACTTATGATATAGCACAGGTATGTTTTAATAAAACATTGTTGAAATTTCTATACTTGAAGCCTTTTACCTTATAGTATCTTAACCTATAAACTATTACAATTCAGCACCTACCTGAATGAGCTTTTTGCAGCATTCTACGTGATTGTTTTTGGCTGCCAGATGTAAAGGATTTAAACCTAATGAAAAACCAAGGCAAATTATTGCAAGGACTTCCCTTTTGTGAACACATTTTAGGTGGTTTTACCTGTAGCATCTGTGATGGACGGATCAGCTCCATGGGAGAGGATAGCTACCAGGCAGTCCGTCTGACCTCGTGCTGCTGCAACGTGGAGGCTGAACACAAGTTTAATCAGAAATTAAACAACAAGCTTGAATAAAGTGTAATTAAAATAGTTTTTGATTTACAAATTACTTTAATTGTGTTTTTTAACAGGCATATAGAATTGTGCTGTGTAAAATATCATCTGTTGTACAGCATAATAATAAGTTGTTCATATTTTTTATTATCAGATTAATCTTAGTTGGTCTAAGTAGACTAACAAATCTAAATATACATTAGATTGTCTCCAACATTTTTTGTGCTTAAAGTATATATTTTTTGGCATTCTTTTATCTGTATCTTCTTATTGTTTTCACCTATGTGAATTTTGCTGTTCAGTTCCTTTTAGCAAAAATTAAACTTCATCATGTCAAAGTTAGAACGTGTCAAATAACACATGAAGATATTTTTTTGTGAAGTACTCGTCAAGTCATTTTTCTTGTTAACACAAGGCAAAGCTTTGTAAGCAGGAATGTTCAGTCAATATCACAGGAGCTGCAAAAGTGCCCTTTGTGTCATTAGGGCCTGTCTATTTGTGTGAATGTGTGCAGTGGGCAATCAATACGACTGTTTTCAGCTCAGTGAGCACAATGAAAAAGGCACACATGGCCAGCCTTGTCCTGATGCCAAACCAACACTATAAACACATGCAACTCCGCCACATGCCTTTCAATCAGGTTTTATCACCATAGATACTATAGAAAAGATGGAATGGAGAGATCCAAACAAAAGTGCTAAGGCTTCATTCAAAGATGTGAACTAATGGTGGCACAAAGAGCCACTGGAGCATACACAAGTGTACAAATAAATAGTTTCAGACTTCTGGAAATTTCTCAACTTTGTCATGTCTAAATTTGTTTGTCTGTTTAATGGACACAAGAGTGGCTTTTTTGTTTTGTTTTGATACATAAAACTGAGCAAAGTAGGACCTGTGCAGTTCTGCAACTGAATAGGTAGTTTCTGCACTGGGCCATCCATTAAGAAGTCAGGGCAACATTTATTTTTAGAACAACGATGCATTTTTAAATAAAGTGCTGCAGAAGTACAAATACTGTGCACTTGGTCTTGGCTCAGCACATATACGCTTTGTGTGGATAATCTAAGAAACACTCACTGGTCCTTCAAAGGTCATAGTTTTACTGTTTTACTATTTGTTTGTCTGTAAATCTGTAAAGGACTTTTCCATATTTCTTTTGGCCATTGCAAGAGGCCAGCTGTGTCTGTTGGCAACATGACTACTGATAATAAATCCAACAGTCATCAAAGAGGAGAAGAACAAATGAATCATTATTTGACTCACTGTCTGGATCCAACATGGAATTTAAAACGTGTGCTTTTGGAGTACTACTGGTAAGTCGTGTTATACTGAACCAGTACTGGAGTCAACGTCATAGTTTCCCTTATTCAGTAGAAAATCACTGAATGTTAAAGGCAAACTCTAAGCAATAAACCACAAAATTGTGAATTTCTCAATAAGGAAACAAAGAAGAACGATCTGATCTAATTAAATCCAACAATTATGTCCCAGATGCCGATTGAAATACAAAGGAGTTTCTACTTACGCTGATTTGCCTTCACTGTCTAGTTTGACAGCACTGGTACCCTTCTTTGTGAGCAGAGATGTCACCTTGTCAACCTCCCCATGTTCAACAGCAGCCAGGAGACGCTCATCATTTTTGTTCCACTCATTTGTCTACAGAAGAAAAACAGACAGGGAATAATGACTGTGGGAGATTACAGTCTAACCAACCTGGAATTCCACATTTCAAAACAACAAATTGACTGAGGTAATGCATGCTGCAGCCAAAATGGCACGACACCTGAACTGTATTGAGTCTGTGTTGCTCTGGCCCATACAAAACATTATTATCTCATATTGATACAAAAAACCTGCCTTAGGGCAGCAGCAGTAATCAACCAAAGAAACTATAGCCAAATACAACGATACCTATCACTACATACAAAATCAAATTAAATCAAATTAAAATATCGTATCACAAAAATTGCAATAATATTTTTTACAAATATATCCACCCCTCCTGTCCATGTCTGTAGTGTAGAAACAAAGTGTGATTAAAAGCAGTTTCTCTAGAAAACAGTAAGTCAATACTTTGTATGAGTTGAGCGTAAGCAGAGACTTCACACAGCACAGCCACACCTGTGGCACTGTCACTATGGGTTCAATCTGACCTGATAGCCCAGTGACCTACACATGATAAGGATGTAAAATCACTGACTCCTCAAATAGCTGTTGAGGCACACTGTACCCCATTTTAGGAGTGATACTGAGTGCAAATAGCTTTGAGGCTCGCACCCAAATGCAGTCACAGCAATACATTTTGCACAGCTGGTGGAAAAAGCTGAGCTATAAAAACCCCTTTGGTCACATGACCAGCTTGGATGTGCACTCCTGAAGTGGGAGGCTCATTAAACTCAAGTCAGTCAAATATATTCACTCGATCTTTAAGAAGTGTTCCAGAATAAATAAGAGTTTTGTCTTAAAACCAATGTAGTTGTAAACTGAATCCCACATACAGTATTTGACAGCCATGATGGCTTGTAATCTAGCTTCAAAGCAGTGCTCTGAAACAGAAAAACTATTTAGAGCAGGTGTAAGATGAGTAGAAGGTGCTGCACAGAGGATACAAAGGCTTAGCTGAGCTTTTGACAGAGACATACGTCCACCAGGTGTCCCATATGCTTCAGGTCAGTAAGTACTGCCACGTGCCTAAAAATATCAGAGGTCATGGTCCTACGAATGTGGAAGGAACCATCAATTTATCTTACTGTATGGATTGTAGTAGGTGGAAGTGAACTTAAGTGAATAACTTAAGGGGTTCTCCAGCTATTTAAATAGAGGGATCCAAAAATACAGAGATTATGTTATTTTTGGGGTGCAGGTTGTTTGGTGGGTTACATGGCACAATTATATGCTGCAGTGGTAATAGTTTCTAGCTCAAGAGTTGAGAATGCGGTCAGTTGAAAAGTCTCATGATTTCCACACTGACAGCCATGTGTTCAGTCAGCAGGCAGGACATCAGGGGCACCCAAAGAAAGATACAAATAAAATGCCCTCCAACCAGCCTAGGGCTCACACTGGTGCCCACTAATCCTTTCATCTTCTGATAAGCATGCACAACAGGATGGGTGGAACTGCTAGTGTTATTAAATACATCCACAATCCTGACATTTTAGGAGCTATTTGTATAAAACAATAATACATGCATGGGTTGAACTAATAGGGTTTAGACTAGGTAATCTCATGTTGCTACATGCGTTACCACGTTCAAGCACAAATATATGACACACGTACAGACCACCACTATAGAGACTGGAACCTGACTGCTAACATAACCATCACATTTTAGTCAGGGATTACAGAAAAAAAGAAAGTGAAATATGACCAAAAATAGTCCATTAATATGATTTCTGCACCATATGGCGCATTAGATGTCATCTGTAAATCACATTCTTCCATTTAGTTCTTACACTAAATTGTTGTTTTGTAGAGCCTCTTTAAAAGACATCATGACATACAGTGCAATTCTTACAAGCTCAGATTACAGAAAAAGCCACAAGAGTTGAGCAGAGCCACTATAAAAAGTGGTGAACCACACAAACCTACAAGAGGCCTCTGAGAGGAACCTCAGTGCAATAATGTTCAGTGCGGTTTGACAGGGCTGAGTACAGAACCAGCGGTCAGTCATGGTTGGACTCTAAAACATCAGCCCCATACTCTGTTTCTGTTCTTTTGACTGGAGCCACTCTGCCCTCACCTCCCAACACTTTAGGTCATGCTGCTGCTATGTTAGCCTGTTAGCCGAGGACAAAGGCAAATTTGTCTGGGAAGGCCCAAATGATGACTGTTCAATAGTGCATGTTTTGAAAGCTTTTACCTCATATGAACTCCATAAACTTTAATTGTAGCTTTCAAACATCATTGTTGTTTTGTTTATTATGCCTAAAATATGTTTGCAGAACAGAAGTAGACTTATGTTATCTGTGTGGCTATGTAAACTACTTTGTATAAGCAGACATTACAACTTCTTTCTGTAAATTTTGTAGTAGTTAAGTTATCACACAATACCTTTTAAAAACATCAGCTTAAGTTTAACTTGCTGACACAGCTAGTGTCGCAAATCACCCATTTACAGTTAAGCCTCTTGACATTGCTTAAGAAGAATTTCGTGTGAGAGAATTTTTGAGTTTAGAACTCTTGGAATGTTGACAATTCAGCTAACATTACTGTGTACAAGAGCCAATCAAGTGTTCACCATGAAATAATGTGTGATGAAGTGACGTTGCTCTAAATGTGACTGCATTGTATTGGACAGGTTTAAGTGGAGCGGAATGCACTGCTCCAGTTTCAGGCCACATTCCCGACCAGTGTCACTCACTGGTGTGTCAGCAGCACAGGGGATAATGAATTCTGTCGAGGATACAATCAGCTCAGCACACTTTATTACAAGTGACGTAGGAAACTATGGCCCCACGACAAAGGGGAATGCTGAATATTTAACCTCTCATGAATGACTAACTTAAGCAGCAGCAGTGCTTACCATTATAATAGCAAAAACTTTTTTCTTGTCCAGCTGAACACTCTGTTGCAAATGCCAATGAAACTGCAGTTGGCACTCAACAACATTTGTTCCTTTGTTGTACTTACTGACTTTCTATATTTAAATTTTAAACAAAAATCCTGATCCATTTCAATTTGTAGATAAATGAATCAAGTAATTAATTGATCTACTACACAGTGTGGCACCATACAAAGTTGTTTTTTTCCAGAAAATGGTTACTGCTCACAAATCCTGTGATTATACCTATTTCATTTACAGGAAGTGAAATGGATCTGACTTCCTGTCTGGCCCTGGTAGTCTCCTGAGCTGTGATAAGTGTGTTTACAGAGGGTTTAGGGTGTGTTTGCCCCCCCCCCCATCTTTACCCTGACACTCATTTGACACACAAAGGCTTCACTGATAACCCTAAGTGTTTCCTGTTTGTCCACACAAGAGCCAGTGGACAAGGACAAGGACAAAAGAAGGAGGGGATGGAAGAATCAATGAGCAACAAGCATTCTGGAAGCAGAATGGAACAATGAGTTTCATCAATAGACATTCCAACAAAAAAACATCTCCAGTAAATCTGCCATGCACAAGCACAACCCACAAATTGCACATCTTTGGCAGTACACTGAGTGGTAGTGGTGTTTGTTGACCTGGATTTTGGACAAATGCTGCTAAGCTTTACTGAGACTTCACAGTTCTCTCAAGGAAATACAAACAAAGATCAGGAAACTTCCTCCTTCAGTCTATTTGTAGAGTTAAACCATAACTGCCAGCTTGGCCTGAGACCAGCTAAAATGTATGACACAATTGATAGAGAACTCCTTATAATAGGTCCACTGATGAGAAGACAGCTAGATCTACTGCGTGTGTTAGGGCAGAATTACACTCATAACCCTGGCACATGTTTCCACTAGTCTGAGAGTGGTGTATTTAGACTACAGTGGATATTCTGTGGGAACCCTTTGAAGATGAAGCACTACAAGCTGTGATGTTCATGTAAACAGAGCCATGCCACCAACATGCTGAGATGAAAGATGGATGTAAATAAATGTGAGACAAAAGTAGGTTAGAGGAGGAGACATGCAAACGACACAAGCCTCCAGTGACGCACAATTGTCTTTGTCTGAGTAAGGGAGTTCATACAGGAAGCAGAGCAGGGAAGGAAGGATGAAGTATCAAAAAGTAAAAGTAAGTCATCTCCAAAGTGCCTGAACTTTGATCAAACGGTGGTTAACTTCGAGCCCCTTATCTCCAACAAAGCAGATGCTCAGATGTCCTCAAACAATGAGTCCTTTGAGTGGTCCACAGCTGAAAGCGCTTACTGCCCTCTGTGGCAGAAAATGCTGCATTCATGTACACATGCGGCACAATAGTTCAGCAGGCCCTGAAACTCAAGCGCACAACAAGAGAGGTTAAAACATGGCTGTTCAACCAAAACCAGATGGGTACTCTGGGCTGGGCTTCAGCAACCTGACTGGACTGTGCTGGTTTATAAGGCTTTAATTGCCACACTAGTAGCCATATGAAAAATGTCAGTGATATATGATAACATTAGGACTAATGCAGAGTTCAAAGGTCAGAGTTCAAGCTTGTTAGAGCTGGGCAATATGATTATTATTCATGCTCATCAATTTCAATTTTGAGTATAGTTTCAAAATCAGTTAAACTGTAGCTTTCCACTCCAGTAGCATGAAACAACTAGTTTCTATTTTATTCCTCCAGTCTACTGTTAATGCCACTATTGGCAAAGATCAATAAAATACTGGTGATAACTGCAGTCTGTTACCTCAGTTGGACTATTGTCATAGCCCTGTTTTGGGTATTTTGTATTTTGCTGTGAGATATGAGATTCTTTGGCTGCCACACCACATGACATGCACACTGCAGCCTTGGTTACTAGCAGCGATCTAACTTATACCCAAAACATTTAGTTTGTTAAAGGATTTATGATGATGTTTCACCAGTCTGTATTGACCGGCTTAAGTAAAAATAGCCCAAATGTAGCACTTCCTCCTTACACAAATAGGTTTTCCTGACCCATAAATAAACTGTACTTTACTTGGAAAGCCCCCAGTCTCATTAGAGCTCAGAGGCTGCTCATAAAGTGGACTAGAAATTATATTCA